AATATGTAAGCACTGGACGGCCGTTTCGTCCTATTGTGGGAATCCTCAGCAATGCCCATCCACGATCCTGCCCCACGGGATCCGAACCCAGGACATGTCATCCTCGTGCGCACGAGCGCTTAACCACTAGACCACTGAGCCGACCGGCATCCAACAGTGTTAATGTGTCACTTCAATTAATCCACGAAATTAAGCGACACATCCATCATTATCTTCAGCAAGTTACTATCTCACAACCCTTTCTGATGCTAACGATTGCCAATTAGTATAAAATCTATTTCCAGGGTTCCCATTATATATATATATATATATAATAGTAAAAACATGCTAATAGTACATAAAAACATATTTTCAATTATATCACTTCATTCTGATATTTAGTCTTATAATGAATAAACAAACCATGAAAACATATTTTTTTAAAAAAAAGGTATTAATATGTATTCATTTATTGACCTAAATAAACAAAGGCAATAATAACAAGACTATTTATACTTTCATTTTGTTGAGAAAACAAAAAAAAGAAAACAATTTTATTATTTATTTTTAATAGTTTACAAAGAACAAAGAGGTTGTGAACTAATAATAATAATAATAATAATAATAATAATAATAATAATAATAATATTAATATCAACTCCAGACAGAAATGTAAATTATTATTACCAGTGTATAAATAAATACTAAAAAGAAAAAAATACGTTTTTTTGTCTGTCGGTAACCAACATACGTGTAGGATGGATCCTTTCAATGATAGTTTTTTTATAAAAAAAAAAGAATAACAATAATGAATAGTTTGCGTACTTCTGTAAAAGAAAAAACTATATCGGCTATTTCTCATCGTACAACATTAAATGTGTGATGTTTTATTTTATCATAATATATTTTTTACACTTTTCATGGGTTAATTATATTAGATTTTTTAAAAAAAAACAAACAGATAAACAAATATTTGTTTATGATTGAGATCACGAACCGATTGATGTTGGACCAACTTTGGAAACCTGGAAGCACTGAACGGCCGTTTCGTCGGTTCGTGATCTCAGTCAAAAATTTAATAATCTCCACAACCCCTATACTAGTAATCAACATGTGCTCACTAGTGACTAGCTTCGTGAGGGAATTCCCGAAGTTCTAGTGAGAAGCCGTGATCAGTGGAGCTAATTTATGTCGGGTAGAGACAAGTATCTACCTCAGTACAATGGAAGTTGGTCGCGCAATTTCGTGAATTAGTTGATGTTAGACACTATCACTATCGGACGCCGGCTCAGTGGTTCAGTAGGCTAAGCGTTCGCACGCGATACCGAAGGCCCTGGGTTCGATTCCCGCGGGCGGGATGGCGGACGAGCACTGCTGAGGGGTCCTACAACAGGACGAAGCAGCCGTCCAGTGCTCCCAGGTTTTCACTGGTGGTCTAACATCAATCGGTTCGTGATCTCAATCAAAAACTTAATAATCTCCACAACCCCTATACTAGTAAATATTTGTTTATATTGTTACATTAGTTTTGTTTATTTATTCAACAGGTTTATTGTAGGTTTCTTTGTTTTTGTTATTATTATTCATCTTTTGGAATTAATAAGTCTTGCTAATTGAACGCTATATTCGGTTCCTAAGCTATTCCCGTAACCCCACCCCTCCTCCAAGCTAGAACTACACAGCGACCTGAATACGAGAGAAAAGGCACAAAATAAACGAGAAGCATTTTATTCCAAAGCTTCGTTTTAGTACAGAAAATATAAGTATTTTAGATGTCTTTGGGTTTCCCGAAAATTCTGGAATGCTACTAAACATAGTAGCAGTATAGTAATCAGCCAATCAGGAACTCTACATGTGACTTTTCACTTTCTTGATGTTTCTGGGTAAAATTCAAGTGAACGCTGATAGGATAAAATGCTTCTTAGTGTTTCCTGAGCCTTTTTTGTCTTTTGCTAGAAGTTTTCTGGATCACCCCAACAGGAATTGAATAGTTTTTATTTCATTGGTATCACTATATATCATAAATACATTAAACTAATCGATATGCGCTTATAAGCCTACTTGTCTTCATTACTTACTTACACCTGTTACTCCCAATGAAGCACAGGCTACCGACCAACATTCTCCAACCCAATCTGTCCTGGGCATTCCTTTCTAGTTCTATCCAACTGTTGTTCGTTCTTCTCATGTCTGTCTCCATTTCTCGATGTAATGTGTCCTTGCTTTTCCAAACAGTGCCTTCAGATATACATCATATCCTCCATTTTTATCAATGATGCAGCCTAGTTACGTGTGATGCCTATGCAACTCTCACACTCGCTTAAATCTCACTTTTTGTATCTTCATGAGGTATCGTTCTTTCCAGTCTGTCAGCACTTGTTCATCCACCTTAATCTTCCTGAATAGAGTGTGAAACATATTTGCAGTTGTTTCCATGTCTGACTTCAGCTGATATATTGTCAGGTCCTGCTGCTTTCTCACTGTTGATTTGTCTGATGGCCATCCTGATTTCTTCGATCGTTGGTGGAGTGACATTTATAGGATATTCTGTGCGTATTATTATTTGTTTTATTTGAACACATACATATTGGTACAAGAGGGCACCAAATATATATGCGCCACGACATTTCATCATATTTGTGTGTGGGCTGTGATATTGACGGGTGCTCAGACCGAAGCAGGTGGTTTTCTTAGGGGGCCACTCCCCGAGCCTTTGACCTAAGGTTCTGACCCACGAGGCAGTGGAGCATCGTGAGGAGATGTAGTCCCATGGTAGCCGGTGACCAACAATTGGTTCATACGCCATTTGTTCCTTCAGGATACTGGAGCCCATGTGCACCACTGGTTTGGATCCGGTTAAAGAGCCGGAAATTCGCTTTTCGCCTTCTCATTTTCGTAAACAACACCCCCGCCACGAGAAGACAGTGAGTAGGACTTCCCTGGCAGAGGCTGTATACGCGTGGCCGTGTGAGAGCATTTCGAGAGGGAGGGCCCACCTTACTCTCGTCCATACCAGGGCATTTGGGGGCATTCTGTGTGTGCTGTTTCGATATCCGGTGGATTCAATGTAGCTGGTCTATTCAAGATTTCCTTAAAGTATTCTACCCATCTGTTCTTCTGTTCTTGAACCTCGGTGATTGTCTTGCCTTCTTTGTCCTTGACCGGTCTCTCTGGTTTACCATATTTTCCTACTAGTTTGTTCGTTGCTGTCTTATATTTCCTTCTCTTGGTGCTTTTTCTTCGTATTTCTACTTGTCGGCTTTAATGCTCCTCTTCACACTTGTTTGTTTCTGTGTATTCGGGTTGTGCCATGGCTTTCTCTACCCTTATTGAACTGTTGTCTTCTTATTCTTCTTTTCTTGAAACTTGTACAGGGTTTCCATAGAGATCCATTCGTCATGATGCTGCTTCTTGCGGCCAATGACTCCCTGATACGTTGAAGTTAGTGTTTAGTTGTTCTCTATAGTAATACAGACTGAGTAGATCTTGTAACGCATGGAACCTGTTGTTGAGAGCTATCTTGTATTCGTTGAATTTGTTAGTATCTCGAAGGAAGGCTGTATTGAACATTTGTAGTGCTGTTTGTCCAGTCCTTCTTTAGCTTTATTTTCATCCTGGCAACCACCAGGTGCAGACCTGTAGCTATGTCAGTCCCTTTCTTCATTTTCACTTGTTCCATGGATATTCTGAAATTTATTGAAGCAAATGTGGTCTCTATACTGTGATCCGTGAGACTCGTATATCTTTCTGGGGGAATATAGCACCGCCTATAACCAGTTTGTTGCAGGTACACAAATTCTCAAGTCTCTCACACTTTGCGTTCCTTCTTTGTTTTGAAGAATGCTTTTATGATCCTGGATCCAAGATGTTCCCATACTTTCCGTGCTTCTTTGGAAAACACCAGTGCAACTTCACATGTACGAAGCATCTTTTCCTTCATGACCAGACTACAACAACAACTTTCCCGAAGCTACTGTTTTCTGTCCAGCTTGGGCTTCATTTATTCAGAGAATTGCAAGTTGTATCACCTCATTTTCGCAGCTAATTGATTGGTCCTCCCACATTGTCCGGACATTCCACGTACATATATCATTTGTTGATCTGGTTGTTAGAAAGAGCATCGTCCTCGTGACTTTAGAAGAATGTCAATTTTCACATTGACGTGTCCTAATTATTCTACATGAAGATCTTTTAACTCTCCGGGCGGAGTTTAAATGGTAAAAATAATTTTTTCCGGTAAGCGTTATCTTAACAAGGTCGACCTTTGGAAGATGGATTGGCTGACCCCATCCCCAACCGTCCTTCTTTACCCTGGCTTGGGACCTGAATTAATCCTAAAATGGATATATACAGAGTGTTTTTATTTGGATAGATTCTTATTTTTAACTAGGCAGGCTTCACAGTTTACTGATAGTTCACTGGTCAATTTATATTAGTCTTTAAACGTTTGTCAATATTATTTTATCATTGTGTTTTCAGTGTTCACTAAGTATTAGAGATTAAATTTACAACTTTATAATGTAGCTTGGTATCCTGAGCATCCTGGTTTTCGATATTACTAACTAGAAGGTATATCCACTTTTGAAGAGGTGACCTGAAAGAGTGGGACAAGCATAGAGGAAATGTGTCCTACTCTTGTAATATTCAAATAGGATTAATTTTAAAATAAAGATTTTCATCTCATATTTAATTGAAAGCTAATTGATCTTACTTAAAGTATCGCGCATAAGTAATAGTACATAGTAAGCTTTGCATCATGGATTATTCTGAGACACTTATTCAAAAGTAGGATATATTTTACACCTATTTTATCTCAGCATGCAACACCCTGGATGTGGGGATCCCTGACCCCACTAGGGTCTGGACCGATCTTGGAGCAAAAACTTCACTTAAAGGCATCGAATATTTTAGACACTTAACAGTAGTAAATTTGCGAAACTGCGCGACCATCTTCCGATATCAATGACAAATATCTGTCTGTTTTAAGTTGATTTAAACAAAAAAAAACACTGCAAGATTTCTTCAGATTTGCCTTTTATTTACTTCGAAGTAAACATTTTGTAGAATACAGGTATCATCGACAGTCTTGAAAACATCATTATCAAGAATAAAGCTTATTTTTTCACACATCATAAATGAATCAACCTTGTAAATGTGTCCATAACAGTCATTACAAAGATGATCCACAATAATAAAAAACGTGGAAGAAAGAACAGAACATCATCAGTCCGAAGTAATTCAATTTCAGTCGTTAATTGCATTCAACAAACATATAAATAAATAATGGGAATAAAAATTCGATTTCTTTAATTATCTACTTGTTTCAAACAACAACTTCCATGAATGAACATTGGTCGCACCCAACGCATAACAGTTGGACAATTTCTGCTGATTTGTGAAGCATGTCATTAACATTTGAGTCATCATTTTGTGTAAGTGATTGACAATTAATAGTATTTTGATCAATAAGCCAAGCATGTAGTGATGTATTGGAACAACCGGAAGCTTGATGCTTTGTTTCTGCATCAATTAAACTATTTTTTATGGTGGTAAGATTGAGACTATCAGTCTAGAATAGTAAAAAAAAACGATAGGAATTGTAGGAGAAAAGAAACGTTTCATATATTCAATTAGTGACTTTTCGTTAGTTTAAATCACGAAATGATTTTAGCCAGGATGGAACAACTGACCAGTGCTTTTTAGGTTTTCAATGATAGTCTGGCTAAGAACAATTAGTGACATAAACTATCGAAATTTTGAAGTCGTTACAAATTCCTCACACACTAATCATATATAGGTGTTCGCTAGCTATTCATACCACATATTCCCACCATACGATAGTTTCTTCAGTACAGGGTTGTGAAGATTGTTGAGTTTTGATTGGTATCATGAACGGATCAATGTTAGGCCATCATTGAAAACCTGGAAGCACTGGACGGCCGTTTCGTCCTGGTATGGGACTCCTCAGAAGTGCAAATCCACAATCCGCACGCAGGACTCACACCAACGACCTTCGGTCTCGCGTGCGAACGCTTAACATATAGACCACTGAGCCGGAATCCAACAATGTTAGTATCTAACTCCAACCAATTCACGATATTGCGCGACTATTCTCAATTGTCTTCAGTGAGTAACTGCCTCACATCGGACACGATTGAACTCCACTGGTCACAGCTTCTCATTAGAACTCCACGAAATCCATTTTGAAACCAGTCACTAGTGTTCACATCATTATTATCAGTGTAGGGTGGCGGAGGCTGTTAAATTTTGTATATTACGTATACTACTGACTAAAATTCAGTAACTTATAACATTCTAACTATTTTTCAAAATAATAACTGAAATTACCTGTTCATAGAACATATAACCTTTAATCGATTAATTATTGTAATTGTATCCTTTTAACATTTTAAATTATTTACTCTCATTTTTCATGTATTCACTGAGATGTATTTATTTGTAACAGTCCCCATAATTCATGAGCTTAGCTCTCGTTTCAATTTGTCGGATGACTCAGTGAATTAAAGCAGCTACTGGTCGTTACATAGTTTGCTGTAGATAATTCCTGAGTAACTACTGAATGAAACACATTTTTAATCATACCTTGACATTTTAAAATGATTTATATAGCTTAGGAATTGAGTTTTGCGAAATCCATTGTTTACACCATCGCAAGCGCTGGCCCTGTATTTTGATTTTGATATTTCACGTGTTACCCAATCGTTTGGGTACGAATCATCGAGCACGTTTAACACTGACAATATAACCTTGGATACTAATCAATAGTGAGCTCATTTAGTCTCTTTTTGAGTCATCAGTCGGATATAACTGGGCCAGTGTTGATGTTAAGATTGGAACTTGGATGTAGTACCAAATTTGAGTGCCATACATTAAGAGCCCTCTATAATTCCTCAAAAAAATCTTTAAAAAGTAGCAGACTGGGGTGTGAGTGGAATATCGTACTGATAACTGTACTTTAGTGCGAAAACAGTAAAGGGTTCATCTTAGGCAACCAGCATCTGGAGTGATGGTGTCTTTTCACAATGGGAGAAATGGGTCGGCACTTGAAAAAATCAACCTCATTCATCTTGCCTCACAAATTCCCGTCGTCAACGGTAAAGACTTTAATATACGAAGCTAACACATCAAGAACTACTTGCGCAAAGGACTTGTGTGACAAGGTTCAATCAGTTGTTTTTCAAGCTTTATAATCACTCTTCTAAGTTGTTAAAACCAGTTCTAACACAATGTGAGGAATCATGATGTGACCTTTTATGAAAACAACAATATATTCGTTAATAATAAAAGACACATAAGCATATAACGGTGTACTCACTTGAGTATCTAGATGTAAACTGCATGAAGAACAAGTGAGAATTGTACTATTCATAGATAAATAGCCACTAGAAACAGAATGGAAGAATGATGAATTAGCAGTGATGTTCAAATTAAATTAGTATGTCTAGAAAAGAATTAGAGAGTTACAATGCCGGACTGAAATTAAAGGCTTTCAGATTATCTCATTTTGGTAACTTTTTTCCAACTGAGTAGCTTGCATGTAGACGAAATAAAAACCCCATGGGATCTCTTTACATATTCGGTAACACTAGTTATGGATGAAGTAGTTGTTTAAGGGTTTCTGTGTCTTTGTTCTAAATATTCATCTATGTACGAAGATGGGGTTTCACCGATCTTGATTCTTACGCCCAAAGAACAAATATGATAATTATACAATTAGTTTAGCTAAAAATCAAACTAATGGATCTGCAAATAGTTACAGAATTTGCACTGCTACACTATAAGTGGAATGGTATTGCCTAAAGAAACGGATACGAAGAATCGAGGAGTCATAATTAAAAATGACCCAAGGACTACGAATAACTGTAAGGCTACCGCTGCCAAAGGCTCTAGGATCGTTATGGACTATTCGTAAGTCATTTCTTAATTTAGATTAAGAAATATTTAGGGTATTATACCTGTTTGTAAAGTCACACATGGAATATGGAATTCAAGCGACGAGTCCTTGCTTCAAGTATGATTAACATGGGTCACTTGACCCCCTATCCTCACTACTAGCTTCCGGTATAATAAGATAATATGTTTTCAACAACGCGATTTCTTGTCATTTACACATTCATGAGGTATTGATATCTCAAAATCTTTCAAAATATTCAACATGGAGATAACCATTAAATTTAATGCACTTTACTGAAACCAGACAGTCATCAAAAAGATTTAAACTAAATTGGTGTATTCAAAGACTAAGTTGTCAATCTTTCCAATATCCTGGTGAGTATAATAGTTTTCAACAGTTAAATATTCAAGGTTTTAATTTATGGTCAGTATACCGAAAAATCCTCTGATTTTACATTACCAGTTAATTAGCTGTGTTTGTTTGAAGGTGGAATGAGGTTTACATTAATGTTAGTTAGGCATTTGAACTATTCCATTGTTAATATTCAGGACTGGATTTTGATCGATTTTTGTTGGTATATACTTGCATTCATTAACCGTCAACCTCGATGTAGCTATTTCTTTCAAACGTTTTATAGAATAGGTGGATAGTAGTAGCAGTGGAATTTATTATGGAAGTTTCTTCCTATTTAGAATCCTTTAGCTAGATAGGTTAAGTAGGGGTTCATTGGCACAACTTCCACTTCAACCAATCCGGTATATAACGCAACGATCACCTAGTATCATCAGTGACAACTTTACCATTCCCAATGTGTCTAGGCTCCACAAGTCACCACTTATCACTAGAAGTTTAAGAAATCTCTTGAAGTAAGTCACACCAGTTGAGTTGACCAATATACTTAAGCTGAAAGGGATTAATATCTATGACGAATATAACCGGTAAATCACATTAATTGTCTATTAATGTTGTTAAATATCATCAGTCACTATCGTATGCATCCATCCAAGGTCAAGTTAATTAATCAAACAGAGAAAAAAAACTGTATTCGAATAACATTCAATTCGCATAAACTACAACTTACATTCGACATAAAGGACAAAGAACATTTTCACTGTTAGATTCATTTGGCAAATGAAATTGATTTGCACCATTATTATTACTATTTGTATTATTCCAAAATTCTGGGTTGAAATATTCCTCAATTTCTAAAATGACAGTCATAAAATGTAGTATTGTATTCCACGGATAACATACAATCAAACGAATTAGCACTTAACTCCAAAGTGCAGGTTGTAATTTACTCATCAAGAATTAAGATATATGTAACTAAAGTATTTTTAAATGGCTATCTGGAGGCCTAAATAGCTTATTTGAAACATCTCAAACTATGAAGCAGGGAGACACGAATACAAATCTCACAGAGAACACATTAGTTCTCTGAAGACGGCAGGTACGCACTACTGACATGTCGATTAACAAAAAACCTAGGTTCAAGGTATCCTAGCGACTTCCGACTACCATTTACTATTTCAGCATAGTACACACGATGTCAAGTCATGTAGACTAGTTACTAGCGCATTGTATCTTAACTGATAGAATTCGATCAGCATTAAGAACTAGATAAACATACATAACTCTACATAACACTGAGCCCTGATACCATCTAATTCGTGCAACTGGATAAAAAGTGCGTCCTGAATTCTGATGTTAGCTACTATTCAACTTCAGAAAAAACTTATAACTTATAACTTTAGTCATTCAGGGTTCCATTAAAGAACAACCACACTTTTTACACAACTTTCTGAATTTTGTGCTGACGATGTTGTTCAGAAGGACATTAAAAACTTCACAATTAAATTACCAAGTTCAGAGAACGAAACTGCATTAAAACAACACACCAGAGCTACCAATCTCTACCATCTATCTCATAATCGGATTAATATTCATGAAAACATAATACAAATCAAATGCAGTTTGGAAATACGGAAAAAAATGGTAAAAATACAAGAAGTATTAAATGAAAAGCAACAGTTCCACTAACCAACAGATAATTCATCTAGAACTCTGTCTTGTAGTAAGATTAAACTATCCAGATCTAATTGTTCCGCCTGGTAAGTGGGGGAGGAGGCAAGGGAGATTTTCAACGGTAGATGGAAAGAGAGAAAGAAACGACTGTTAAATATAGAATCTGATACCGATAGTATTAATTGTTTTTTCCATTAGTTAGCAAAAATATTTATACTACGACTAACTTAATAATAAGATTATTCCCGGTCGATGAACATTATTTGGGAATATATATATTCAGTGATAGTGTAATAAAACTGTCACCTTCATAGAAATAAGATGCAAACAAGATATCATGACTATGTACTGTTTATCAACTGTTGATGATATGAACGAGATGCTTCTCTAACAACTAATAAAGTTAAACTTTAGACCAGTGTATTAGTGATTGCAAACAATCGACAAGCCGTACATGATGTCACGTACAAATCGAACGGTTCTCAAAGTTTATGTCACAGATTGAAGCGAACCTCGGAGTTCTGGTCAGAAAATCCGTGATAGGCGGAGTTCAGTTATATGAGTAGTGAAGCAGTTATTCAATAATGACATAGAAAGATGAGTGTGTAATACCGGGAATTGGTTGAAGTTATGGATGCAAACCAATGAGTACCTATTCAGTCGTTTAAATTTTAAATGTTCATTACGAGATCTACAATTTCCTGGGTATAATGCTTAGTGAGTTGTCAAATACTTCTTAATGGTTATCTAGTTACGGCTTATGGATGATGTAAACTATAGAAATTTTACATCTATATTTGGTATATAAGTTGCATAATATTCGATGGTAGATAACAAAAAAGAGAAATTTAAAATTAACAATGCTGTAAGATTTTTTTCACGTTTTTGCTAACTGATAGACCGTGATAACCATATAATGGAATATAAATACAAATAGATAAATACACTACATACTTCACTACCTGAGACCAAACTTTTTAAAAGTTCTCTTTTCTCTTGTAGAAGTAGTTGATCGGTTAAACTATCTGGTTCTGAATTGTATATGTTTCGAAGGTGATCGATAAAATGTGTACGTTTCAATTTCATTGATTCCATAAAACGCTTGTATTGCAAAGTGGTAGCAATAAAAAGACACAATAAGAGGCAATTAATGGAGAGTAATATTACGAAAAAATAAATTTGATAATTTGTAAAGAAATTTTTTAGAAAATAAATATAATTGCAAATCATCTGATGAATTAACTGTGGAAGCTATTATATTCTCATACTAACAGTCCTTAGGATAGTTGTTAGTTAACTAGTGATTACAATAAGTTACATATCAATGGGGTTATCAGTATATTCTCAGTTAAGTTCTATTCGTAATTTAATATTTATCAAGAAACTATGATGGTTGATACTGGAGCAGAAGTTGATCATCAGACCTGAATGTGTTGATAGTTTACAGATTAACAACTGTTTGTTACAGATAATGACTTTTATTCCTACAAAATGTACGAACTGGAGAGGCTTAAGCTTTTAGTTTTTCTTAAATGACAAACATTTAGTAAGTGTATTTGATATATTGCAAAAACTTACGGTACACCAGAAAAACAGATAAAAGATGGCAATACTAAGTGTTGAAATACTACATATCATTGGGCTCTTAAGCTTATAGCTAGTTCAGCAAAAATCAGATTATTACCGGGTATTATAACGACTGAAGGAAGTAATGTATATAATTTTCTTATTAAAGAATCAGACACATCTTTATCTAATTATAACTTAGAGTAGAAAATCGAACGAAATTTCTTGAAGAATGATACTGATTGTTCATAGACAACCAATACATACGGTACTGGATTAGCCTAACCTGATAATAAGTACTGTAGAGCTGATCACTTAGTCAGTCAACTACAACGTAGGACCAGGCACATACATGGTAGCGGCCCAAGTTGCCACACCTCATTAGCACAAGATGAACACCAAATTCAGAGAAGTATTTACTTCAAAGGTAGTAATATATAAAAGAGAGACTGCATATAAGGATATAATACAGGGAGAAAGAATTACCTTGTAGGAAGAAAGGTATAAAGTAATTTTAATCTCACGGTTTAAGGGAAGACAAAGAGTGTATACACTGACGCCGTTGTGATCGATTCTGAGCCGTGTCACCCAGTTTCCAACCATTGGTTACGGTAGTCATGCGGACCCCAACCATGTAGTCTGCATCTACCAACATGGCTGAGATTAGAAGTTAGTGACTTCAAGCACTGATGCCACGTTTTGGTCTGACCGCTCCTAACTTTCTTCCAACTGTCCCCAACACTAGTCAGTAATGCACGTCATGCTAATCGGTGTTCAGGAATACGTAACACGTGACCCAACCATCTCAGTCAATTAGGATTCACAATTTCACCATCTGATTTACCATCATTGCCAAATACCCTGCGTCTAACCTCACGATTATTTACCCGATAGAGTTGGACATTGGTAGTTACTATACTATAGTGATAAATTTCGTTATCATTAGTGTTAGCCATACAAGATAATAGTTATTATGACACAAATAACAACAGAAGTAACCATGTAGATTGACAGTATATTCAAACATTGCCAAGACATAATCATAAAAACTTTGTTATAGAGAACATAACTTACTTTGTGTAGTAGATCTCTCCATTTGTTTTCTTTATGCTGAAATTGTTTTGCATACAGTTCTTTGTGTCTATTCATTTTAGACCGGTGGGAATCATGTACCAAAATTGTTTTGTCTATCATTTAAGTAATATGGTTAGAAAATTTAAATTATAAGAAAAATTCTTTAAAAACAATACAAAAGTATATCAACGATGAATAACGGATGAACAGAATTCATTTTAGCATTAACTCACTGCCGGGTGGAGATTCTAACATTTGGTTTCGAGTCAAACTTTAAATATGAAGGCTAGTGAGACTAGCCAGCTGCGTAAACCGAAGTGGAACGTAGTTCGAATAGGAGACTTAGTGACTGAAGGTGGAACGTCTTAGCTGCTGTCCTACGTTTATTTAATTTTACATGAATAATATGTCACCATTTGACTGAATGCAAATCAAAATAAAATCTTTCGATACGTTAATTCGAGTAGTCGGGAATGACAGGACCAGGGAGGAAAAGGTTGGTGGATACTGATGTGAGACGGTTTTAAAGCTGACAACATTTATATGATATTAACTGTTATAATGGGACGAATATTGGAACTTTCGGTACTACTTATCGGACTATTATTACCTATATTTTCATTACAGAAGCACTAGATAACTGTATTTTTGCATTTCTATATTCCCTTATCATAAGCTTTGAGCAGACCTATTAACTGTCGCTGTACATTTTATTATCTCTTAGTTACTGTTAACTAAGTATGCACTGTTTACTCCTCCGTCTACCACTGTAGTGGACGCTACTCACAAGATTGCTTGTAAGTAGTGTGTTGCGAGAAGTGATGTCAAAGTTGCTACAATTGTCAAACGGAGTGAAGAGTTTCAGTGCATCGAAAGCACGGCGTTGGCAGAACACTTGGAGACAAGACGCGAAGATAGTTCAGATGGAAGTATACATCGAAAGATGAAAATGGACAATTGAAGCTTTGTATGGGCATTAGGTAAATACTTTTTAACTTCTCGCAATAAATATAAATATGGATTCCACCTGCTATTTGCTGTGTTTAACACTACTTGTGGTATGATTGTGTTTAAAGTATGGTCTCGCATTTGGTGTTCTACGTGATCAGACATTTCGAGTATATTATTGTACGAGTCTTGGGTCATAATTGAATAAACTGGTTGTTGACTTTTTGAACTCAAAGCGCGGCATAGAGAAGAGCTTTAGCATGTTGGCTCACGGTTAATGGTTTAGATCAGAAGTGTTATTGGTACAGTCTAGGATGCTAGGTTATGAATGAAATAGTAGAAGATAGGGGAAATTATAATCGGAATTCTAATTGATGAATTTAACACGTGATAGCGATTAGCATTACAAGTCATAACAACTACAGATAGATAGATTATAACCATACATATAGGGAGTACAAGTTTCGGACATAAATGGCAATTGAAAAAGTATATTTTATTATTGTCAGTTTAGCCAATGAAATTAATAAAAAGCAGGTTGATTTCATTTTAAGATCTGATTATCTTCACGTCACAACTAAGTGGACACTGCAAGTTTTGGAACCTTGAAAAGAACGAACTCAAGAAATACAGGCTAACATGTTATGGTTAGTCAGTTTCCAAAAGTCAATAATCTTAACATATTACAAAGTTTCAGGAATTGTGTTACTACAAACAGAACGTTTTGGTGTCAACACCAGGAGGTAGCGGAATTTTTATTAATCGGTTTAGAGATAACATGTTAGGTTTGAACGTCACTTAAAAAGTGTTTATAGGTAAACGGTACTGAGTTTAAGAACAAGACAGTTACTAACATTAATCGACTCACGGTTATCTAAAGGTTAAGAGATCGCTGTGAGACCTGGAGGTTCTGGATTCGATTCACTGCGAGATTGTAGATGTCCACTGCTCGAGTGGTTTACTGAGACGGAAAAATTATCCAGTGATTCAGAGATCCTACTGGTTGTCTTAACTGAAGCCGGTTTGTAGTACAAGTAATAAAATTTCACAATCACCAGGAACCCTTCAAGTTTACTAGTAGCTAATTATTTGGTCTTGAGATTAGTGTAGGAAGCAATTTCCTACAGATTCAACTCTAAGCTAATCTCTAGACTGTCGAGTACAGAGTCTTGGTTTAGCCAAAGTCAGAACAAGTAAGCTATTTGGCTATATAAACTTTATCTGTTTCTAAAACATAAATTAACATCGTTAGCGTACAAACAAACATTAGGGTCTATTAATACAGAGAAAAACAGAGACAAATAACATACCGAACAGTAGCTAGAGAATAGGAAAAATGAGTCAACAAGCCAATATTGTTTTACAATGGACATTAAACTGTGATTGGTTAATAAAGAGATACAGTCGTACAAGGTCAAAAGGAGTTGATGTGGTGGTGGGCGTTTCCCTTATTATTGGTGGGTTCGTCTATCAATCACATTTTACAATTAGTATTTTCTGACTTTTGAACTTTTAATTTGGTTAACATTGCACATCAATGGGCAGAATTGGTGAAAGTATAGTATACTGATGATCTTGGGCTAACCAGTCAGAACTAAGATAACGCCTCATGTATTTTGTGCAAAATTTAAAGTGCGATGATAGATATCTTGTGTGTTATTATTAATAAAGTAAAACGTATTGGAAATATTTGGTCCTTAAAATTAACAAAAGTATTTATTGTGTAACCTAAAAGTGAACTTAAGACGATGCTCAAGCTAAACTACGAAAAATATACTTGCTCCTTGGGCAGATTGTGTATTAGGGTAATTTACACGATTCGATGCGTAGTCGAGTGCTTTATGGAGCTAGATAGTGTTCTCTCCCACTAACCCTTATTTTAAATATTAATTCTAGGTTTAATAGGTTCATAAACAGAAGGTTGACAAAATGTTACCTCATAGCTGAAGTCAGTTCGCGAAGAAAACCCGATTTTGTAAACCCTTCTCAGAACTCCAGCTAAACCTATAATGCCTAACATTAAACATTTTGCATTATAGCTGATGTCAGTTAGTGACGAAAACTCTAAGGGATGATAATACTAGCTCGACTCTTAATTTGTATTTATATGTGTATACTTGACCTATTTACTTCACTAAAAGGGATAATTTGACATATGAGGTTTAATTCCAGTCAGTCAATAACAACGTAGAACTTCGTACGTACGTACATCAGTTCGAGTTGCCACACCACATTAGCACAGAGATGCAGTTGTCGATTCAAATCCCGTAGTGGTAGAGACAGTAAAAGTATAAGCAGCAATCGGAAAGATTATGGTTTGGAGATGTTTAATTATTCAGATTAAAGCTATTACTCCTCTGTTATTTCACTGGTTTGTATTGCTAATTGTTTTATAACTAGTCAGCATTTCCTTATTGAGTGAAAATTTGTCCAAGGTCGTCAGTATAGTATACTTTTACCGCAGAATTTAGTTACCAATAGATTTTAATTTAAACCAGTAGTAAGCCGTAAACTGAAATCCTAATCAGACAATCATTATTTAGAAGTTAAAGTCATTTGTGTAGGATTTCATAGTTTAGGGAACTATATAGAAAACTAGTGTAATGTGCTTACCCTTAAAAAGATTTTTTTTCCCATTTCAACCAAAAATATTAACTAGTGTTTTCAAAATAAACTGAAAGCCAGTGATAGTTCGTTTTAATTATACTCCGTATTAGGTACTAATTGGAGTTAAACAATATTGGCAAAGTTATTCAAAAGTAGACTTCTACTTTATTAAACTGAATTGTCAAGTAGAGCTCTTGAAATAATAAAGAAAGTCTTAAATACATTTCTCTATTGAAAGAAAAGAAATCACCAATGAAATAATGGTGTACAACTTGAATGAACTGTTTCATACACATATTCATTCATTCAATCATACATACACGTGAAAGAAATTGAAGAGGAGCTGAACATATATCATATAATATAAACTCGGGGGAAAAACACAATTCATATTACTAGAAATAAAATTTATATTTACAAAATGTTAAGCTTTATACATTGGACTGATATACATAGAAAAGTAAGTCAAGAAGGAAGATAGACAATGCTACATGAACTGATGATTACATAACTTGAGACTAGAAATTTAACCGAATAGATCACCAACTGTTGGTAACGGATCTAAACCGAAATTTGTCATATCAGGTAGAAGATGCAGATCAGGGAGATTTAAAATATGTTTATTCAGTTCACTTTTTAATGAGTGACCATGATCTAATTTCGACTTCAAGTCCTGTGCGAGAATAATAAAACAAACAACAATAAATATAAACTGATCTAGATAATAAGAACAGGGAACAAACTGACTAACATTTTTACAAACGATTAACCACTGAGTATTGAATAATATCACGCTTATCTATTCGTTTTTTGGTAGTGCTGAAATTTCATTGACCACGCTGTAATGTTGCTCAAGGTAGTGGGGGAAGAAACCTTGAACTCAAGCTTTATACTAGTTGGCATTTATCATGGAGGTGTACCTGCAGTTTCGAGGGGACTGATGCTTCTTGTGAGATTCGAATCAATTTCTACATTCTAGACACTTCTTACTAACGGGTATCGGCTAGTACGAAACCTTAGTTCAGCGTTTTATGCCGATTACCTCCTACCGTCTAAAATCGCACCATATAGTGATCGATAATTTGTAGACATTATGTCGAGTGGAAGTGAACGCGATTACTACTGGTTAACAGTAATTTTTCGACACATTTCTTGCCCTACTGTTCATAAAGTGTAATACAATTGAAATTTCATTTGAATACTGTTGATAATATGGTGTAATAGACAAGGGTTACGCCCGACAACCACGTCTTAATTTCATTTGAAAGTGAGTGACCGACAAAATTTTTATTCTCCAATTGCTTATGGTAATCTAATCATATTTATCTTTGTGTTAATATTTTCCATAGAAACATGTTATTTACTAGATAAACGACCTATTTTTATAATCAGTGGTTTAATTTTCCAAGTTAAGTTTGTCCGTAGGTTTACATAAACAATTTCATTATCGTGAGGCGTTATCACTCGGTTAAATAATATTATTGCATTCTATCTATTCATTGACATTCTAAGCATTTCTTATAACAGTTTTTAAATCATTCATTTATCCATAAAATTTCTAGTCTATAATGTTGGGTAATATGGCTCAAAATCAATTGCAGTTGTGCAGATGACTTCACTCTTTGCTTTTCCTCAGGTTCTAAGTTTCGAAATTATTTTATAAATTTTATTTCGTGAATCCATTTTTCCGCCCAATTTACTTTGTGTAACTGATATTATTATTACGACGCCTATCTACATTGATAGTCATCTCGTTGTTCTGATATGATGTAATAACTAGGACGAATGGCTAGATGATGTACCGGATTCTACATTGATTATGACCGACCGACTGAATAACTGACAGTCTATAACATATTTTTACGAAGTTCATAACACGGGTATGGGAGACTAAACGGTGAGACTATAATTTATAGACGACCTTTGAGCAGCGCTAAAATAACCTTGGAATGTTCACCTACTTACTAAGGTTAGATGAGGGTTATATACTAGTGTGAGGAGTTAAGATTAGGATTTACAATTGAACGCCAGAGTAAGGAATTAGATTTAATGTTTTCATCACGAACTGACATCAGCTATAATGTCAAAATGGTATTTAGCCAAATAAGCAGATGAATTTCGCGCCAAAATCCAAGGCGTGCTATCTTAAATCTGATTGATTCGTTCATAAATCATAGTCTCGCTGACTGAACTAATGCAATTAATTTGCAACAAGAACACGAATACTGGTTATCGTGAATATATAGTTGTAAAGATGTACTGAGAAACTGTATAATTTGGCAAAAGGATGGAAAGTAAGCGACAAATCATCTATCGAAACATACTGTAAGTTATTTTGACGCAATAAACAATAGTAATAAGCTAGGTGATTATCTACGAGTTAATAAATAATCTGTCTATAATATTCAATTATATAACTGAGACATATCAGTGGTGACGGGGTGAAAAAAGCCAAGACAATCAGCATACAGAATTGTCGTCGGTGTCCTTGAACGAAACAGGCTATTAACTTGTCATGCTGTATTTTCTATTACCGTGTTGATTCATCCAGAAAGAGAAAATGGCTCTCCCTTCTGATCAATTACAGTTGCTATTTCAGCGACAACAGCGTTTTAAAAAGAATCAGTTGGAATTTTTAGACAAATTACACACACGGCTGCTGAATCATCCATGCTTTGGAGATGTGACAGGAGTTAATGAACTAATATCTGAATTGCGTACAGAGCTGGAAAATGATTGCAGAATGTATGAATGTGTCAACAAAAGCCTCTATGAATCCTTGACAATCAGCAATTTAAGCGAAGCAGTAGCAGTCATTCATGATCCGCCCAGTGGTCCGGAAACGTCTATTTCAGAGACATGCCCTGTAGCGAGTTCAAATCCCATTGTCCCCGAAACACAATGTACAAACACTGACCTGTCCAACTCACAGAAGGGTGATGTCTTGTTAAATGCACATGAAATGGATGCAGTACCCGCCCACGAAGAAACAGAAAATGAATCAAGAAGCATAATGAAGACAGTTGCATCAAATGGAGCTCATCATTCTACGACAAAGTTTCTAATAAATCTACTTATCGAGGTTCTCTAGTTGTTTTACCAGATATGAGTTATCTTAATGACTCACATCTTCTTGATCAAATTTCTTACGAAAATGAGAAAAATATGTGGGATGTATAAAATGATGATCAAGAACCTAATGAAATTTTGATAGATGCTGATTATACTAGTGATCCCCTATCTACCAATGAGATTTTCAAGAAATTTGATGAAAATGATTCAGAAGAATCAAACCTTAATGACGTCATATCAAGTGCCGTTGATCCTCACCATCTACTCAGTTCTAGTGAACTCTTGATTCAATGCAGGAAATATGTTTTAAGTAGAGTCACACTAACTATAACTTGGGAATATGAGGACCCAACATTATTTCGTGGTGGAGGATAAAGTCAGAAAATTTAAAGACAGGATCTAAACTTTGAGTCTTCAAAAAAAGAAGGGAAGAAAAGTCAAAATTCGATTCATTTACTCATTATGAATTTTGTTCAACATTATTTCCGTTTTGATTCAATGTAATGATTAGTCAATGCAGTATTTTTTGTTTTCTCGTATGATATCTCATTCTGTATAACATACGATATTCGTGTATTCCATTGACATGAACTATACTCAACATATGATTTGTCATAACTGAGTATTTATTATATATATGATTTCATCCTAATTATTAATCCAAGTGTGAGTACAATTAATATATAAATGTGTATTTTTGACTAGGGTTGTCGTCGTCGTGTTTTGGGGGTTAATAAATCGTCACTTATACCAGTCTTTGTACTTTTACTTTCGCGTCGTGAGAATTGCCGAGGTTTCTCGTTTCGGTTATAAGTGATAGGCGTTTCCGATACAACAATCAGAGACGATCAGATATAACAAGTAGCATTCGATCGACAAGACATATCAATTACGAGAAAAGAAAAAAGATTGTACGATTATCCAGTGAATTATCACTTTGCTTGGATAACTAAAACTAAGCGCTACATTATAGTTCGAATCCTACTTCAACTGTTTCAATATAGGTAACTCTGATTTAAATAAATGTGTGGCTGTTCTAGGTCAAATGTACATAAGCTATGCTACTTGTTTTTCAAGTTAATGGAATTTGGTAAATCAACAAAAAAAGTCATTTTAAAATCATCTTTTCTAAGAATAACAATAGCAACAGAACACTTACATCGACTTCAATCTTAGCCTGTAAAATTCGTTCGTTCAAATGACTATGAAAAGCACGTAATTGAAGAGCTAACTGGTTACGTTTAGTTGTTTCTTCTTCTAACAATTGATTGTAGACATCTAGTCGAGAGGAACATTTACTGATAAGTTCTATTAATGCTTGTTGTTCTTGTTCAGATGCTGGTAAAAAGAAAGTGTAATATGAGAATAAGAGGGGTAATGTCGCGTAAGATAATTGTCTATTTTAGTTTACCAGAAAGATATGTGGAGATTATTGAATTTTTGTAGTTTTGCATCATGAGCTGATCTTAGTTGGACAACTGTTGGCAACTAGGAAGGACTGGATAGCTGTTTTGTCCTAATTTTGAGGGATTCCTAAACAGTGTGCATTTACGACACCACCAGATATCGTTTTAAATATAACTTGAGATTAACGAACAAAATGTTAGTTTATAGACAAGATGGATGAGATATGTTTACTTATTAATCTTCACAACATTACTGTAGGCCGGTAACAGTAGACTGGATGAAGTCAGTTAATCAGTCATAAGCAACACAGAATCTGGAACATATGTGAATCGGTCCTAGTTGTCACACCTACATAAGTACAGAGACTTGAAATGATCAAGATGAATATTAATATAGTAGTATTATCAGTGGTAGACCAGGTATAGACAAGGTTCGAGAAAAAATGAATTCACGGAGTAAGTATAAAGTAATTTTGAGACTTGACATCTAAAGGAGGAAATGAGTGCATCAAAATCATTGTGACCGATTGTGTTCCATGTCATCTAAAGTTGATTAATCACTTGGAAGTGAACAATGCCATGAATGCCAATTTGTTTTCAGTGCTAACTGGATTCTGTCGAGCAATTCACAATGTGGTCACTAGTCTAAGTGACCTGACATCGAGTACACTACGTTGGGCAGTAAGGTCAACTACCTTTAACCACCACCTTAAAAGTCTTCAGCCATTAGTTACGATAATCACGAGGACCTGGGACAGGTAGTAAGAATCTAGCAGCACGGACCAGTTCAACAGACAATGTATTCACTCATTGATACTATATCTTGGACTGGATGCTTCTAGATTTCTTCAAACCTAGTCCAACACCAGCGAGCGTCCCAAGTCAAGGTAGGTGGTGCTTGGGCATAACGTGAATATGTCTCAACCACCAAAATCGATGAAGATTTATTATCTCATCAACTGACTTGCCATCACTACTCAGTATTCTGCGTCTAACCTCAGCATTGTTCACTCAGTGATGCCAATATACACAAGTAATGCTTCAAAGGTGTCTATGACTGAATATTGGTCTGTACTAATTATTGAATAATGAGCCAGATACATGTATTACAAAAAGTGAACACAGCCTTTTGAGTACATGTTTAGTTCCCAGTAAGCTTACTTAAAAGAAACTACCAGAAAAACAAATTCTAGTGAACTGATTAAGTGGATATTTCAGCAATGAAAATAGGAAAACGCTAAAAGGCTAAACAGTTGCAAATGGTTTTGCCAAATGAATCATACTATTCATACGCCATTGTTAATAATTTAAACACTTGAATTTACTTCATAGTAACTCAATTTCCTAGTCATCTAGAATTCATGATATAGTTGACATTTTCTATCAAATCAATGAGATAAGTTTAAAAACTCGAGACTTATAACTACACATATCTTTCTCAATAGTCTATGTTACTGTTATAAAGGTGAAGTGAAATATCATAAGCAATCAAACAATCAATAGGCTTTTGAAATAAGCAGTAGTATATATATATATATATATATATATATATATATATATATATATATATAATCTTCATACGATCTTTAAAAAAATCTTACACGACTTCATAATTTCCATTGCTTTATTAGGATCAGAAACTTCCGGCGGGAATTGTGCTATTTCACGGCGTGTAGCAGCATCAGCAGAAGCAGCTGATTGAAGAGTTTCTAAAAGTTGAATAAGTTCACTGACCTAAAGATAAAAAGAATTTAAAAAATCGTCTTCTAATAATGAACATCACACCATAAGGTATTTTTACGTACGAGAAAATAATAGGCCATCATACTAGGTGTATCGGAATATGTAATCTGAAAGGAGGCTTTACTAGTTCCATTTTTATAGCGCCTACGTGATTGATTCTAGCTTTCAGGTAGATTAATTACAATATTCTTTCAAGTTATTCCACCACTCATATATTTACCCTTACCAATTACTCAGGTGCAACTTTGACCAGTGTTTTTTTTTACATACAGATGCATGAGGGAAGTCCTACACACTGATTTATTGTGGTGAGGTGTTGTTTACACAATCAGGAGTAAGAAAACTCAGATTTCAAACCAATGGTTCAAAAGGGCTTTAGGATCGTTGAGGAACAAATGACGTATGAACCTATTCTTGGTCACACCTTCTAAGGTTACTCCACTGTTTTGCGGATTGGATTCCTAGGTCAAATGCTCGGGAAGTTGCCCCCGAAGGGAACCACCTGTTTCGGTTTGGGAACTCGGACGGTATCCTAGCCCGCAAATAAATTGAGAGATAAGTACTTTGTGTGGAGTATATATATATATATATATATATATATATATATATATATTGGTGTCCCTTTGTATCAATGTTTATGTCTAAATAAATAAATGATGGCATGTAGGCATCTATCCACTCCAAGTAGTTCTCTTAAATGAGAGAGAAAAACGGGGTCACCTTATTATTCGCGGAGTCTGTGTATTACCGAACTCAAATGCTTTATATACTTGTTGGATTTTTGATGTGCATCTCTAATATTTAATGTTAGCATATCTGAAATATATGTATCCTAGATACGGCCTGTATAAACATGGCTTGTCGACAGAAGTAAATAGGATATCGTTATGTCAAGATGAATATTAGGTAAAGCGGAACTTATTGGACAATCCGATCTGAAGCTATAGTTTGGATTTTTGTTGTATGCTCATTATATAATTAAACTACTGTATTTTTATATTCTCCTACTAGTGAGCTTTTGTTTGTCGTATAAACAGTTGTTTTACCTTTCCAAAGTTATTGTTACTTTATTATGGACCTATCACTCAGTCCTCTTCCACTTGTCGTGTATTTGTGCCCATGTTGTGATTTCCTAATTCTGTTGGTGTGTTGTCATCATTGCGCTTTATATTACTGTATAAATGGTTCAGAAAGTCGAACTGTATAATCAGAAAATATCAGCCTTGGTGAGTTGTTCTTTATTTTGACTAACAGGCGAGTGGACGTGTGAAACTGTATTCTGGACCAATGTTCATCTAGTGCTACTCTCGGCTGTTAGCTCACATTTATCGTGTTATTGGATAGCCAAAGGTTAGTAATGCCAGATAGACAGTGTAGGAGAGCTAATCAGTGCTCGTACTAGATCAATATAACTACTCTCTTGTCTATCGGTTCAATCTCACAGGCCTCAGATAAACTAAACATGAAAATCTCTTTGTTTTCACCGACACACCAGATATTTCATTTACATCATCATCCGATTATGTTTGAGTTACATGTAGATTAAAAAAACGAGACAATTAATCGACATGTCAGCACCAGTAAAATGCATGAAATTCCGATATATATGAGTATTTGTGCATTTCATTCGGTAGTTCAATACACTTCTCTCGCTCTTGTATTCTTGCTTAAGTAGTCAGTTGAGGGTTAGCGCGTAGTATACCGTGTATCACTTGGTATTGTTTTGCTTGTATCTTCCTACTGATGTTTAGGACTGAAATTGATCAGTTTGTTATTGGCATATGTGCATACTGTGCGTATGCCTCGATATTGCCCTAATTCACAAGCTTTTATAAGCGAAGACGGATAGTGGTTAGCAGTGGAATCCAGGACAAGCAAGTGGCTATCAGGACTCAGTAGCTGAGTGGATAACACGATGGAGTTTGAAGCGAACGGTACTGGGTTCGAGTCCCAGAGTGAAAATCAACTCTGAGATGCAGGGACATCCAGCTGACGAGTCCCAAATAGGATGAAACGCGCGTCCCGGACTCCACTGCTAGCCACTATACATCTTTGCTTACCGTGTATCAGTATCAGATTTCAGGCACCACACGTTACAACAAAATCATATTGTTGTACAATAACTATGACTGTTACTGAATAAGCGAATATTTTATAACAAGTGATATGAATGTCCATGGAGTTTTGCTTAGTAGTGCATAGATATTTTTAGCCGGTAAAAGAATCATCCTACGCCATGAAGTCTATATGATACGTGTGATTTCTAAATTGACACATTTGTAAGACGTAAAGACTTTAAATCCGACACTTACAACTGTAGAAAGTCAGCTCACATTAGCTCTGTTGAACAAATAAATAAATCCACATGTGAACAAATTGTTTACATGTAACCATTAATTATTACTTTGTAGAGTTTATCCTTCAGGAGAGAACTTAATGAAATATCTTCAAGAGTGTTATTTATTTATTAGAATGTCAGGGACTGTAATATGGAGCAGGGACTTGGACTGATACACATATGTGCCATGTTCTACGCTGGATATGACTGATGACAGGGACTTAACTTGTTGATTCAGAGACTCAGTTTGCGCGCCCGAGCTTTACATTACATAATCAGATGTAGGCAGTCAGTTGGTATCGTCAGTCCTATAATCATTATTATTATTAACATTAATATTATTATTCGAACCCATGAATATTGGTACAAAGGGGCGCCGAATACATATACGCATATGCATACATATGCCCAAACAGAAGCAGGTCACATCGTCAGTCGTAAGATGATTTCAGTTTAAAACTAAGCACGTTAGTTGATGGTTATCAAAACAACAACATACCTTTGGAGGTTCGGTAGCCTCAGTTTGTAGTTCAAGGTCTAACTCTTCACGGAATGCAGAAATTGAATTACGGGACATATTACTATCTCCATAATTTTTAGGGTCAAAGCATATTGGAGCCGTTGAGATGTCTTTTGTAGTTGAAGAACGGTGTCGTTTACGATTCAGTTTGTTATTGTCAATTAACTTGGGTGTATGAAGATTATTACCAGCCACAGATGATTCTTTGTTCCCTGATAATCCTGATGAATTTGTCAAAACTGCTGTGAATGAGAAAGCGAATGGTGATGCAGCAATGATGTTACGTTTCTGTGCCAAAAATTACAAAGATGAATGATTATTATAGGAGATGAATTCACACTATGTAAAAAGTGAGTTTTATATTTCACTGGTGAAAATCTATGAGCGTACATTCAAAAACCTATAAGAATCTATGGAATAGTCAAACAGCGGAAGCCATTATTAAGGATGTATGCGTAATTATTTTTCCTACTATGTCAAGAAGTGGCTACATAAAACCAAGAGTCAATAAAGTCGGGTTATTACGTATGAAGAACAAATATGAAGTAAACCTGGGCTCTACAAAAACGGGCTTACATTTCCTGGTACAATTCTAAGAACTAGGTGGTTTAATGAAATACCACATAATACATTGATCATGCTGTAAAGTACGGCGATTTAAAAGAATGCACCTTGATGGACATCCTAACTCTGTTTGCAACTGTATTTTTGAACTGGTAGCAGAATGCCGAATAGTGGCCAGTGGATTCTGATAATAACAGAAGCAATAGAACATTTTCGGGAGTGAAAACGTGTTGTCTGTTTTCAATTTTTGTGGATTAGGCTGACTGATAGCACTGAAATTAAATTCCAGTGATTTTAAGAAGAATTATTACATTTTGTCAGGTAGGCAGAAAAGACTTAATATGGCGTAGTACCATTTCTATTCCATTATTATTAAAATAGCTCCGATTCTGAGAAGAATCGATATATCCAACTACATATTATACATGTATTCGTTGTTGAAAAACTACGTTTAAACTAGTGCACCATCAGACACAAAAAGTGGATAATTCGTTACAATGCTAAGTGGTCAGTTAAACTCCAGCACAAATCCAGATAAAACTATCCATTGTCTTGATAAAAACGAGCGCAATAAAATATGCACACGTCAAAATAGAAGATCTAGGTTACGACAAGTTTCGATCTAGTGAGATTTATACTAAATAAAGACAATTTTAACCTCAGATTTGAACTTTTAAAATGTATACGGGTACAAGTGAACGATTATATAGGTATATATTTCACTTAGTAGGATTAACTTACAATCTCTTCACTAGCATCTGGCGTATCTGCTTCAGCAACCGCTCGTTGGCATATAAAACGTAACTGTCTAAGAAAACTCTTAGAATACACTCGACGAGTAGCCCATACGATTAAAAGATGAGCGACAGATGAACGCACTGAATGACGCTGTACTCTAAAATTAATTAATAATCAGATAAACAGAAAATCTACTCGCCTGATCAATGAAACAAAAGAAAGTATACAATAGACCAAGTTACAGCTAATGGGCAACAATAACACGAATATACAAAGTAAACTAATACTTAAATACTAATCTAACTTATCATATGTACAAATGATGGAGCAAACCTGTCGTATAAGTATTCGTTGTGCGGTAGAATTACTGAGTGACGATTTTAAGTAACGTATGTAAACCATGATTAAACCAAATAAGGTTAGGATAATAAAAGTACTTTAGTAGTATGATATTATGAGTAGTAAAGATGAAGCAACAGAGTCGCTAAACATGAATATATCGCTATCGTTCTTATCTGCTGTTAGTGTGTTAGAATCTGGTAGTTGGTGTTGGATGACATACCAAAATAATAGCAGAAATCTGGATACTTTCGACTCTACCGGAGAATTTGAACATTTTGTCGTAAAACCCTATTCGTTTTCATGGTAGACTAGTTTAAAATTACTCGTTATAAGTGTGGAGATTGAAAACAATACTGTTTGGGATTTAACGTTATTCCGATTGGCTAGTTACGAAGTAATTGGGGGCGGAGTAGCCATATACATAAGCTCTTGCTTGGAGGTGCACCAGGTTCACAACCTCGAGTTTAACAATCTTGAGGAATCCATATGGTGCTCTGTAAGGTTGTCTAGTACTTCTAGGTGTCTAGTCGGAGTCATTTACAGGAAGCCAACTGCCGACACCGAGTACGATAGTCGTATGCTGGAAGGACTATCCCGCTCTATCCGTCTCGGTTTCACACACATCCTGATTCTAGGGGACTTTAATCTCCCTAGAGTCAACTTCGCGGAACACACGTACACTGGAGGCGACAACTCAACTGAAGCTCGGTTCTTCAACCTCATCGATAACTTGGGCTTATATGAAAATGTGAGGTCGGCAACTCGTTGGAGAAACAGTCAGACACCATCGCGCTTAGACTGTGTATTCACTAACGAAGAATTCCTAGTCGACAACCTCTCAATCCTGGCTCCTCTGGGAAAGAGCGATCATGCCGTCATAGCCTTCAGTTTTGTCATCAAAACTAAGCTAAGGTATCCCAACAATAATTTGCGTTGGAATTTTAAACGACTGAATGTGCCAGCTCTACATGACTATCTACAACAGGTGGTTTGGGATGTTCACCCTCAACTCGATGTGGATGGTCATTGGGACTTCTTACTGCACACGCTCTTATGTGCTACAGACCATTCAGTTCCTCAAACGGTCCCCAAAAGCTGCAAGCCACCTACAGTAATCAAGAACCGTACCCTTCGCCTGCTAAGCCGCAAAAGACACTGTTGGGCGGAATACAAACGAACTAATAACGATGGAGCGTATAGGCAATATAAACATATCAGGAACATATGCACGAAGGCTATAAGAGAAGACAGGCTTCAGTACCAAACAAAGCTTATGGACAAATTCGCCTCTAACCCTAGAAGCCTATTCCGTTACGCAGCCTCTCTTCGTCAAGCCAAAACAGGAGTTTCTCAACTGCTAGGTCTTAACGGCCCGACCAACAATGATGGCGACGCCGCTAACCTTCTGGCGGCACATTACTCTCAAACATTTCAACCGGCTGACATCAACTTTATTGACGACAGTTTCATCTGCAATTCCACAGGACTTTCTGAAGTGGACCTAAGGGCTGACTTGGTGTTCCGGAAACTGCAGCACTTAAGACTTGAAACTTCTCCTGGCCCGGATATGGTTCATCCTGCCATACTGAGGGAGGCAGCCTCAATCCTGGCAACGCCGCTTAGCGTGATGTTTTCACACTCGCTTAGCCGAGGCAAATTACCGGAAAATTGGAAGTTGGCTCACATCACACCAATTTTCAAAGGTGGTCGACGCAATGAACCTTCAAGTTATCGGCCGGTAGCTCTTCTGTCGTTACCTTCAAAACTCATGGAGTCCCTGATATGCGACGGTTTAAATGACTATCTACTGTCCTTAAATTTCTTCTCACCCCAACAGCATGGTTTCAGGAAGGGTTACTCCTGTATAACCAACCTGCTGACTGCGGTGGACAGATCGACAAGCATCCTCGATCGCAAGGGAAACGTTGATGTCATTTACCTTGATTTCTCAAAAGCTTTTGATAAGGTTAACCACTTGTGTCTTATCAACAAGCTCAAACGACTAGGTATCAAACCACCTCTAATCGACTGGCTTACTTCATACCTAAAAAATCGACACTTTAAGGTTAGGGTTAATTTCACTTTATCTGAGGCTATGGAATGTCCTAGTGGGGTCCCCCAGGGCTCAGTACTAGGGCCTCTTCTCTTCTTGATCTACATAAATGATCTTCCTCAACAGGTAACGTCAGACTTATTACTTTTTGCCGACGACGTGAAACTTTGGAGAGAGATACGCAACCAAGACGATACACAGGCACTTCAAGAGGATCTGACTCGACTTCAAAGTTGGGCAGACGATAACGGACTTACCTTTAACACTTCAAAGTGTAAAGTAGTCCATCTGCGACATGTCGCAAACTACAGTTACAACTTAGGAAACTCCTCTCTAGTCGTATCCCAAGTCGAAAAAGATTTAGGAGTCCTGGTGCCCCATGACTTAAAGTCTTACGCTAACTGTGACAAAAATGCCTTCCGAGCAAACCTTGCACTGGTAACGTTGAAGCGCGTTTTTGGCCAGTTTGACGGAAGAACTTTCCACACAATCTTCAATAGTTTCATCCGTCCCCATTTAGAGTACGGAAACATAGTACTCCCCCCTCACTCCAAAAGGACAAGGTCACTTTGGAGCGTATCCAACGGCGAGCCACGAAATCAGTTCGAGGACTCAAATCTAAGCCTTACGAAGAACGCCTCCGTTCACTAGACCTTTACCCACTAGAATATAGGCGTCTTAGAGGTGATTTATTAATGGCTTATAGTATTCTTAACACTTCTGGACATCCTCTTAAACACCTACTTAAGCTTAGTTCGAATAATAACCTAAGGGGTAACACCCAGAAACTGGAAACACAACATAGCAAGACGGAATGTAGACACAACTTCTACTCCTTAAGAGTTGTCAAAAGCTGGAACTCGCTGCCGGCCGAGCTAGTCCAAGCGACTTCTCAGGAGTCCTTCAAGAGGCAACTTGACCTATTCTTAAGGACCAAGGACAGCATCACACTATGATTTACCAATTTCTTTTCCTCTTTTATTGTTAACATACCTAGGTTCCTGCCTGGAGGATTTCGTGATCCCCTGCTACTAGACACGGAAGCCTGTTAGGCGAAAGCTTCTTCTATTCCGTCCACAACCATTTGAACCATTTAATTAAGTTCTAGATAACTAGGTTGGACGTGATACACTGGAAATTCTCGCAATATGACGCAAGTGTAACCAACCGAAAGTACACAATCTTTTACCTGGGCACTATATTTAACCATTAACTGAATTTATATTTCGTTTTGTTTGTGCATAATTATTTCATTTGGAGACAATAATTATACTGCAATATCCATATCAGTTTTAAAAACTATAGGGTCTTGCACAGTGAACATTTTCAAAAGCGTAGAAAGAGAGCGAGTATTTGGCTGGTGAGTTGAATTTCCACAATTATTCTATAGGGCGCCTTATAGAATAATATGGTGCGCACCATACAGAGACAGATGCCTCATTACCAGCTAGCTACGTTTTTTGGTGACCGTTACATAGGTATAAGATGTGAAAGGTCAGAAAATACCATAAAAAAGCTTTTGAATATAACGAAGCCAGGACAGCAAATTAGAACTTGTCGGAACAGAGACTAGAATTAGCAAACTCACTTTGATGTTTCTTTAAACGCCGTAGGTAAAACTGGTTCAAACAATTTCTTGAACTGAGGAGCTGTAGTTATACCCCTTTGTATAACATCGTTAGCCAGATGCAGAAAAGCGATTTTCTTCTTAGGAGCAGCTTAGTAAAATAATAATTTTACGCAATGAATTACCTTTGCGAAACTCTTTAAACCAGAGCTTGACCAAGTCTTTGGCCATTTGTTTATTACTTAAAAACCACTGGGATGTGCTTTCTACCGAAATTTGAGAATTATCTAGACCTTGCAACTTCTTAATTGCATCCGCTTCAGAATAAGACATCTCGTTGCGCAACCGTCTAAAGCAGCGCGCTAAGAGCTTAACTCAAACCTTATTTAATATCCAAAGTGCTTAAATGGTTTAAAACGGGATAGAAGAAGCCCTCACTTAGTGATCTTCCATGTAAAGTGGCAGTTCTTTCAGTGTTTGTATGACTCACCGGTGGAAAGGAATAAATTCACTTGAAGTTTCATCGTGATTCTCAGTAGCACTATCAAACATTTGGTCTTTCCTGTTAAGTTGGTCTGAAAACAGAATTTATCATTTCTACTTTGATGTTGGAAGTTGTTAGTTTGGCCGAAGTTGAAGAGGATATCAAGTGAGTTTCATAGGAGGTTCAAAGGAAGTATCACTGGATGAGAAAAAATGAGGTAGCAACAATAGAAAATGGGATATATTGCATGAGGTAGGTCTAGCAACGACCGATACTGCTTGTTTATTCAGTTGCTGAACTGGAGGGAAAATATCGCGTATATGTGAGCAGTTGTCAGTGCTTGTATAAAGGCTCATTGATGATGGTACCGTAGACTAAGTGATTAGGATATCTAGCTTTTAAAATTTTGAATTAGCTTTTATGCAGTGTCATTAAATTTCCGATCTAATGAGCAAACGTTGACTCATTCACTACTCTTTAGCATACTGTTAACACGAAAATCAATCGCCCACCATTAAATAAGTTGGTGCTTATTCTGAACTAACCAAAGTAGACCTTGAAAAAGAAATGCATCACTATTATTAACAGATGTCTTCTTGCTTATTCCTCCTCGAATCCTGCTAACGATTCCGATGGTGATCCATTCTTTATGATGATTTTTCTTACGACCCAGAACCCACTGGCACTTCGTAGCTACTGATTATTTGATCTATTTTCAGCTGTCCTCTATAGTAGCTTCCTATTCTTTGATTAAATCTTGTAAGGTATTAAACCTGTTGCCAAGAGTCACCTTGTAATCGTTGAGTTTACCAGTATCTAGAAGAAACGCAACATTAAACCACTAAATCACCGCTTCTCCCAATATCCAGTATTTCTATAGCTTTAGTTTCATCTTGGCAACCTCCGGGAGGTGATCTGGTGCTGTGACATCTGTCTTCGTTCTCGTGTCTTTCATGGATCTCTTGAATTTTTAGCGAGGCCAATATGATCTATCTGGTTCTCTGTAGTCTGATAAAGTAAAAGCCATTTAGCTTTTTGTGTGCGTTCGTGGAGGAATATCGCGCTGCTTACGACCATTTTGTTGAAGACACATAAACTTGCGAATCTCTCACCGTTTTCGTCCCTTTCACCCAGTCTATGTCGTCAAATGACATCTTCATACTCGATGTTGTCCATTTCGAATTCAGCATCCCGGTTTTCCATCAGGATGATTCCGTGTTAACCCGGGGTAGTTTTCCACGATATACTTTAGACTCATAAAACTGATCTTGATCGTCTTCATTGTTATCATTGGTGGGTGCATTGCACTTGATGATATTCGTGGTAATGACTTCCTTATTTATCTGGAATGATGTACTGACGACCCTGAAGCCATAAGACTAACATCCTATAAGTCATTAGCATGCTTCTCTGGATAATATCAGCGCAACTATCTGTGTACGAGGCATTTTCTTCTTTATGACCAGAGTGCATAACGGCTCCTGAATCTAATCTTTTTTGTCCAGCTTAAGTTGAGTGGGTTTTACCTTTTCGTAGCAGCTCCAGATTTTACCTCTTCATTTCCGCAGCTATTTGGCTGAAAGATGCCACAGGTATCCGGAGTTTGACAACATCTTAACCAGTAGCACCTTTTATAATCGAACCGTGCCATCCCAGTGAAATCAGAAGTCAGAAGCGAAGATGTTCAAATATATATTTGATATAATATGCCCATTTCATCTGTAACACCGTGGGAAATCTCTTCCCTATGCTTTCTTTAGTTCCTACAGAGTTGAGATCCACTGAATAATCTGTTTGTTCTAAGGCTATAGAACAATTTTCCATATTTATTACTAACCTAGACAGCCTTTCTCCGTCATTGTGCTCTATATTGGAACCTTCAGTCAAATCGTTTAGCAAATCTCGGTTTACTTCATGTGTTCTACCGAACAAACGTCTCAGTATATCACATGCTCTACGATAACTCGATGATAGTGGAAACATTATGCATTCTTTTATGGCCTCTCGAGCCTTTCCTTTACAATAATGTAACAAGAACAAGAGCCGTTGACCATAATCTTCGACCTTGGGTACCACATATAATAATAATAATATTAATAATTATTTATTCTCAAATAACAGTTTGTTACATGAGGCATGCCAGTTTACAGGCAAGATCAAATTGATACAAATGATACAATATCCACTGTAGTAAATTACATAGCTGGGTTGATAATTTATAAGATATGGATGTAGATGTTTTTAATCAGTACAGCAGTTGGCGCGCTTCATGAAAGTTGAGTTGCAAATGTGCAACTAATGGTCAAGGATAGGTCCATTGAAGGTGGTAGCTTCTAAATGTCGCAACCTTATTTCCCTTTGGAATGTCTAAGGCTTTGAGGATGGCGCAGGATGAAATCTTTCGTTCCACATCACAAGGAGGCTGAAAGAGGGAGCAGGTGAAAGAAAGGATGAGAGGCAGAGTAGCCAATATTCATAAAGGAATGTTTAAGGTACGATTACTTAGTCTAACTTTCTTTTATTAAGGTATTTGTTGAGAAAGAGCATTTTAATAGGTTAAAGAAAATAAGTGTTAACAAGGTGTGAGTGGACATACAACTGATAAATGGAGGCGATTCGGAAAGGAGCTGAGAGTATGGGATTATGTGTGGTTATAAAATAAAATATAGTGCTAGAAGCAGTATTGTGATATACAATTGGCTATCTTCCTTTTTTTATAGAAGCTATTAGAGCCCCTTTCGTTTTTTTTGCATTATCATTTTTTTCAGGTATCATAGGGTCTTGAGTAGGCTTCGTATATTAGCGAATTGTCTGGTTTGCTTGTAATGGGATTTCTGGGTAGGAAGTGAAACCAATATAACCGGAGCTGTCTGATAAATTTCTAGTATTTTGATGGTTGCACATCAAAACTGCTCAGTTCTACTTTTGTGAGCTCATGACCCACACTTGGAGATGCCAAGGTCACTTCCCACTTCTTCGTTCGTGAATAGTCTAACATATTTGGATTTTCTGGGGACTTCATTATAAGGTCATGAGAACGGCTTATGAAACTGTGAACATACTCTTGTCCTCAGTCATCACGACCCTAACTTTCTCTGAAAGCACAACAGTTGCTTCCTCTACCTATCTTTCAAGTCTCTAATCTCTAATAGTTGTCTTTCCCTCAACTACTTTTCTTTTAACTCTGCTGAGGTGATGCTAGAGCTAATTTTGCTGTGCCTACTTGCTAAACTAGTATTAGAGCCATGACATGAAGATGTATCAGAAGGAACATGCCGTATATCAGGAGGCGCATCTGATTGCATTTCCTCATGACCTAACACCAGGTTTCCGTTGACCTTATTGCGCTTGCCAGGCATTACAGTGTTTGCCACTTGTAATATATATATATACACGTTGTGCTAGTACGTCATGTTCATACTTCCTAGACATTCACTGATCCAGTCAGTTTGTAAAACAGTCAGGACGTTGGTCCACGGGTTTTCGCGATTATATTAAATATTGTCGTGGGTTTCGGGATGTCGTTTTTTGTCAGCTGTGAACGAAATTTTTCCGTCACACGTCAATTTTTCGTAATGTTTGTGCTTGTTACATAGCTTTTATTTCAGTTTATTAGTAGTTTGACGTATTTGTTGCTCACAACCTGGATGAATGTTTAGTCAGCCTAATGCGGTTATTTGTAACAATACCAACTGAAGCAAGTGAAATTCATCATTTAACAAATCAAAAGTAGACCGCAGTCAGAGTTTTATGCCAAAGTGAACTCTAAGACTATAATTCATGGACAACTTTTGAGCGACGCCAGACTGAACCTGAGTGTGTCCATCTGATCACTAGGACCAAATGAGGGTTATAATTATTATGGTTAATGATAGGAATTAGATTTAGGGTTTCCATCACGAACTGACATCAGCTATAATGCCAAGACTCTATTTAGCCAAATAGTTTGGTGGATTGCGCGCCAAAATCCGAGATCTTGTGGTGTTTGAATGAACTGATGATTTCTTTGTACTTGTTGAATGCATGATTTCGAGTTCTAAATACAGTACATTCGTTTGTGGTTATCTAGTACTATAATTCAAATACTTCCAAATATCATATTGGCGTCGCAATGGAGCCTGCGATGGAAAACTTAGACATTTATTCAACTTCTGAAGCTTTCGAGGATTACTTTGAAAAGTACTTTGAAAACTCTGGGCTATAACCAACTGCATTACATCATCCCAACCCATTGCATACTCAGGATTATACAGATAACAATTTACTGAGGAGTTGCGATGCAGTTCATGAATATGGACACAAGACTGGTCAGTGCTTGTCCTGTGGGAGGTTCCACTCCATAATTCATGTAAATTTCGTAATTCTGTAGCGTGGCGTCGAGTCGAAATTGACTATGAACACCGCTACCAAGAAACACGTGCCAAATAAATCAGAAGGCGAAGGTCGAACGTAACCAAATAAATCCATAAAATCCCCGAGAAGCCAAATATCAGAAGGTAATTAATGGACCAAATCGAGATATATTCGCTGGCGATCTCGTGGCATCGAAAGGATACCGAGATCGTGCCAGGATAGAAGCTTGGTTACAGAACGTAACCGAATTCGCTCAAAGTTACAATCAAAGTGTGTGTATAAGAATGGAAGCAAAATATAGCTGTCATTAGCACAGTCAAACAAAAGCACATTAAAACAAGCACTGGTACAGTTGGTTATAATAATAATTGTTTTTATTAAACCAGTCGTGTTCTCGTGATAAATGTGAGTCACTACAATTCTAAGTGCTTTAAATGTGGTGATATTGGACATATTCAGGCAGTGTGTAATACTACTGTTCATCTTGCTGCAACGAATATTAACTCTTGTAATTCTGATTCTATTAAGTCTAGTGTT